TTGGGGGATTCTATTAGTTTAGGGTTTAGGGCTTAGGGTTTAGGTTATTGGGATTATATTGGGGTAATGGAGAAGAAAATGGAAACTATTATAATGGGGATTATATAGGGGTATATTATGGCGTCTGGGCTTCTATTTTTCCACAATAGGGTTTAGGGATCAGGGTTCAGGGTTTGGGGTTCAGGGCTTGGGGTTTGGGGTTTGGGGTTTAGGGTTTGGGGTTTAGGGTTTAGGGTCTAAACTCCTTAAAGGGGGTTACATATAGGGTTTGGGTCTGAACTCTTTAAGGGGGGTTATATATAGGGTTTCGGTCTAAACTCCTTAAAGGGGGCTATATGGGTTTAGGTTTAAACTCCTTAAGGGGGGTTATCTAGGGTTTAGGTCTTTTCCTCCTTAAAGGGTGTTATATAGGGTTCAGGTCTCAACTCCTTAAAGGAGGTTATATAGGGTTTAGGTTTGAATTCCTTAAAAGGGGTTATATAGGGTTTAGGTTTTTTCCTCCTTAAAGGGTTTCATGTAGGGTGTAGGTCTCAACTCCTTAAAGGAGGTTATATAGGGTTTAGGTTTGAGTTCCTTAAAGAGGGTTATCTGCGGTTTAGGTCTTTTCCTCCTTAAAGGGTGTTATGTAGGGTTTAGGTCTCAACTCCTTAACTCCTTAAAGGGGGTTATCTAGGGTTTAGGTCTTTTCCTCCTTAAAGGGTGTTATGTAGGGTTTAGGTCTCAACTCCTTAAAGGGGGTTATATACGGTTTAGGTTTGAATTCCTTAAAGGGGGTTGTATAGGGTTTGGGTCTTTTCCTCCTTAAAGGGTGTTATGTAGGGTTTAGGTCTCAACTCCTTAAAGGGGGTTATGTAGGGTTTAGTTTAGGCTAACTCCTTAAAGAGGGTTATATAAGGTTTAGGTCTTTTCCTCCTTAAAGGGTGTTATGTAGGGTGTAGGTCTCAACTCCTTAAAGGGGGTTATATAGGGTTTAGGTTTAAAGTCCTTAAAGGGGGTCATACAGGTTTTAGGGTATTCGGGTTAAGTGCAGACTATAGCTCACATGCGCTTGCCGAAAATCCTAGAAACACAGGTGATGAAGAAACTTGCACAGCCGCTCACCAAGGGTTTAGGGTAAAGGGACCCCCCCAATACTTTAAGGGGTTAAGGGTTTTGGGGGTTTGGGGAGGTACTTAAGGTGGTGCAGGATTCCTTCCATTAACCGTGGGTCCCCTTTAGGATCCTAACAGGTGCCACATTATATGCGCTTATATAATGTCGGTATCTTTACAGGGGGATATATAGGGGATCTTTAAAGGGTTATATAGCGATTACATAGGGGATATATAGGTCCCTTTAACGGGAATATAGAGGGGAACAATATGGGTTCCTTCAAAAGGACGATAGGTTTGATAAGTATCCACATAGACCTGGCTAGATTCCCTGCTTCTGGCTTTCCGAAAGATAGGGTCCCCATTTGCACCCCAAAATGCCTTGCGCCATGCTATATCTTTTGTTTTAAAGCGGTTTCTATTTTCAGGATTGCAGCACTAGTGGAAAATCAACACCTCCTCCACTTGCTTTCAACAGGCACCCCCTAGCCAGAACTCAGTAAAGTTGAAGCCATATTTATTACAATATATCACCCATTGTGGTACCCCTAAACCCTATATACCCATTATGGTAACTTAATACCGCAACAGCAACCCAAGGTTTTTTTACACTTCGGAAAGTGTCCAGGTGGTGGTATGCCCCCCACAGAGAACCGACATGTTACAGCAAGCTCCATAGGCAAAGCCCAGCACAGAATATAGATCTTATAGCATGCGATAATACATTTTAATTTGATATATTATACTGTAATTTCCTACAATATACTATCTATAAGATATTTAGTAATATACTAGAATATACATATATATGTTATTGTATATTATTGTATATTATAATCTACCGGACAGTTTTCTATTCAAGCGCCCACCCGGACGAAGGCTTTAGTGTGGACTGCACAGCCTGCATTGGCCTTAAGCCGGCAGACCCGTTGAAGTTCAAGATGCCTGGCATCAAATGAGCCAAAAAAGGGGTGTTATATAGGGTCTCGGGATTAGGGTTTAGGGATAAGGGTTTAGAGATGGGGGTTTAGGGATTAGAGTTTAGGGATTAGGGTTTAGGGACTGGGGTTTAGGAATTAGGGTTTTGGGTCTAAACTCCTTCAAGGAGCTTTTTTTTTAGGAAGTGTATAGGGGATTACTAAAGGGGTTATTAAGGGGGATACTAGGTTACCATGAGTCAAGATTATGGCTCAGATGGGAGTCGAGCCCCATAAGCCCTGGATGCCTGCACCAGAAGCTCCTTGAACGGGTTATGCAGGGGATTATACAGGGACTATTATAGGGGTTATTAACGGGGATGCTAGGAGTTTAGACTATAGCTCAAGGGGCAGAACTGCTTCGCCTTGACCTATCAGCATGACTCAGCCAAGTCTGAACGTGGGTGCTTCTGGCGCATGCAGCAGCCGACACGCCTTCTTCAGCAGCTTCGCGTTGTGGATCGGCTTGCAGGCGGGAATTGCTTGGCATAATTTCCACAGATGACATGGGCCCTTAGAGTTCTCCAAAGACAGGTTATAGTTGCTCAAGGGCGTAAGGCCAAGTGACTGCCCCAACATGCTTGAAGGGTCAGGGGACTTAGTAAGTAGGTTTAATAACCCCTATAACCCATATAGTAACCCCACTTATCCCCATGTAAACCTACTTACTAAGTCCCCCTGACTCACCAAGTGGAATGCTGCTCAGAGCCCTTTGGGTTGAACAACTCGCCACACTAGCCCAGAGCCCCCTTTAAGGATCCAAAAAATGGAGCCCCCCTTATGGGGTTATATATAGGGTGATATATATATATATATAGGGTTCTATAGGGTTATATAGGGTCATATAGGGTTATACAGGGATAATGGAAAAATGAAATGGAAACTACAATTTAGGGTTTAGGGTTTATAGGGCTAGTGGATCCAAAAAAATGGAAACCCCTCTCATATGAGCCCATTACTACATTGGGGAAACTAAGGGGATTACTAGGGGGTTCCATTGTTGGGATCCTTTATAGGGACCCTAAACCCGGGGGTCTGGTAGTGAGCAGCTTGACGACTTTGCAAATTAAGTTGCTATATTGGGAGGACCCCTATAGGGTTTAGGGTTTAGGGGTTTAGGGTTACTATTTTGGGGAAACCCTATTATTTGCTATATATACCCATTATGGTAACTTAAATTAAGTTCCTTAACAGCAACCCAGTTAAAGGTGCTGGGGAGGTGTCGGATCACTTCCCCCTTTGCTACAGGTGGGGGTTTAGGGTTTAGGGTCCTCAAAATAGTTTTGTTACTTTTCGTCCTAAGGAGCTGAAAGTCTACTTGGGTTAATCTCAAAATTATGGGCCCTTTTTGGTTGTAGAATAATATTCAAGGGTGCCAGAAAGGGAACTTAATGTTGGGAACTAGGGTTTCAGACCCCTACCCTAAACCCTCAACCCTCTAATTTCTACTGGGGATCCAAACCCCTACAAGTTATGTGTGTGGCGACGAACCTACCGGCCAGGAAGAAGCTCGGCGAACATGTAGCACATGAATAACGGTAGACGCACATCAAAATGGCATAGTATAACGTAGCCTCATATAGCATAGTATACTGGTATAGTGTAGTTCGGTGCAATATAGTATAATATACTATAATATCAGTAGTTGCAATGTGTTGTTCGTTGGTTCTCGCAGTCTGGAAAGATTTTGTGATAACACGCTACACCCTGAATTGTAAATCTCCCCTTCCCTCAGGCTAGGTCAGGCGATGATGGCCGTCCCCGCATAATCCAGAACAACTCCAAAATTCCGTGGCTTAGCGGGAAAACTGAAATTCTCCGGCCATGGAGGGGCCTACAGACATTGTGACGGATTTTGGGTATGTGAGAATATCCATATGGTGCAAAGATTCGATTGGCATTACCAATTATTTCGGCTTCTACAGCAGGCTACAGCGTCAGAGAGCCCATTGCGTTGCCCGGTCATTTCTGATAAAATGCCTTTCAAAGAACCCTGGACTTTTCTACCTAATTAAGCTGGGTCATTCAAAATAGATGTTTGATTTTAGAATACAAAAGCTTAAGAAGACATGTAAAATATGATTTTCATTTATACCCCAAGAAGGAACCAGTACAGGTATGGTAGCTTTCAATGGTCCTAGATCTTAAACCCGTTACTAACCACAATTGCTGGTATAAAAAGGACTATGGTACGTTTGGGGTCTTTATTGGGGTCCTCCTATCCATATGAGGATTCATTCTGGGGATATTTTTCGTAGGAGATATGAGTAGTATAGGGGCATGTGGGATCAATTATGTGAGGGGCATTTTTGGAAACTCCTATATAATCCAAATATACTACAGTTGTTTCCATGTTCTTTTCCATTATCCCCATATAACCCCTAATCCTAAACCCTAAACCCTAGATCCTAAACCCTAATTCCCCCAAATGAGGGGTAATTACCATTTTGAAGGGCCGTGGGCCTGTTTTGTTTGATCGTTCTTGGCTTCCAAGGAGCCCTTAGCCTAAAGTTTCAAGCTGAGCCCAAGGGTAAAGGGTTGAAGGTTAAGAGTTTAGGGTTCAAGGTTTACAGTTCGAGGTTTTAGGGTTTAGGGTTGAAGGTTTGGAGTTTGAAGGTGTAGGACTTAGGGTTTGGAGTTTGCCGCTTAGGGTTAGGGTGCTGAAGACTGGCTTCAAGGGCCTCTTCAGGGATTCAGTGATGGCCAGATGATATAGGTCCTAAGTTGGCGACCCCAACCCCCACAAGAAGGATATTTGGCAATTACATTGCCCTTGTAAATCACAGTAATGGAAATTGCAATATTCAAAATAAAAGTTGTAATCGTAATAGTTATAATACTAGTAGTTAACTCATAAGAGAGTGCTTATTTGAGGGCGTCGGGTTACCGACCCATCTTCTTAAGTCGTTCCGAACTACTGCACGTGGCCGCCATGCAGGTCTGTGTCGCCGGTGGCCCCTTGGAGAGACTCCTGCAGCTGATTCGGAGGGACGAGGCCGGATCCTTGAAGTTCTTTGAAGATGCTTTCCATAATCCTACCGTACTTATTGGAGGTCAGCAGGGAATAAAGGAATCTATTCTATAGGACATTTATAAGGATTCTGCCTCCTTTGGTCCTGCACACAAATAACTGAATATTAGAGGCCGTCTTATGTTGGGGACCACAATTGTGACAACCCACCACATAAACCCTAAACCCTAAACCCAAAGCTTCAAGGGCGTTCAAGGTTTTATTGGTTGGTGGTCTCAGAGGCTGGCGAGAATCAGAGGGTTGAGGCATGCACTGCATATGCGCTACGGACTAAATTTAGGTTGGGGGGACCTATAGGAGACTATATACGGTTTGGAGGGGGCCTATTAAGGGATATACCACAAATTTAGTCCAGGGCTCCAATATAATAGGGCAGCACACGCATCTGCAGGATAGTGTTGGCATTAACTAATATCGCTGATGCTAACAATCCTGCCCGACCCCGCTGTACTCTAGTGTTATAATTCAAGGTATAAGGTAGCTTGCGTCATGCAGGATTTCTTGTATCCACCGTATTATTTGTTTCTTACATGAATACCAAGTACCAGTGGCATCTATGCCCAACAAATGTGCACAGAATCCCTAGCATTGAGCCAGGCAGTGAAAGGCCTCAACCCTAATGGCCTTCCTGAAATTAATTTCACAACCCCCAGTAAGCCCAAGAAACAGGGTTAAGGGTTTAAACAGCTGAAATCATGATTTCTACCAGGGTTATAAGGAACATACAGGATTCCAGTTGAAATGCAATGAGCCTCCTAAGATGTTGTAAGGGAGCAGGGGATATCACGTAGAGCAAGTTGGGGAACGCACCAAGCCGCCCAGATTTGCATCGATTTCCCTACCCTTGCACGCTTGTCTGCATTTGGCATGTTTTTTTGGTCTCTGGCGCTTGAAGTTTCACGGTATCTGGGTTGGCATAAGGTTTCAGAGAGCTCTCTTGAAAATCTGGTAACCCATTATAGTAGTTGCCATGTTCTTTTCCATTGTCCCCATTTTGTCCGTATATTACCCCAATGTGGCTGAGGAGTACTACCCTTTCGTGGGCAAGATGGGCATCACATGGAGCTGGCAACCGGAATCTGGGTTGCTGTTAAGGAATCTAAATCAGGTTAGAATATTGCGGAAGCCATATTATTTACCATATTTTCCCATTCTGGTAACTGAAACCCTAACCCTGAACCCTATACCCAAAACCCTGAACACCCAAATGCCCTGTCTACCCTATATACGCAGTATGGTAACTTAACTTCAGTTCCTTAGCAGCAACTCAGGCATGGCTGTTCAAAGCCGTGAAGCTTGATGTGTCTGCCTACTGGCCTGTGCATGGCCTGGCACCTGCAGCAACTCGAGATTGTTAGCGCAGAACCCTATGGAATCAAACAGAATATACGCAAAGAAGAGATTGGTAAAAGTGTTGGGTGTCGAGACTTATCGCAAACCGGCAACCCAAGCTTTGTCCTTCTCATGTCTTTCTCCCCTTCCTGCCCTCTCTCTCTGTCTCGCGCTCTATCTCGCTCTGTCTCTGTCTCTCTCTCTCTCTCGCCCACAACCTGCTCTTGAACCTGGTCAGGGACGGCAAGGGTGAAGACTGTGTAAAGCAGCTCTGTGCGTCAACCTTGGACCTGCAAACCGAGGTGAAGCACTATTGCTGGTGGCACCCTGCCTCGCAGTGTCCTGGTTTGCAGCGATGCTTCGGATCTGACGTGTTGGGTCCGGGCTCTAGGGGCGCAGGTATGTTTCAGGGGCACGAAAACGCACTGGATGCTTTGCACAGCTAACTCGGTATTAAGGTGGCCGGCGGTGAGCCAGGCAGACAAGGATCACTTCGAGTGGTATTGGTGGTGGTGGAACCAGCAGTGCCCTTGCCAGCATGAAGTGCGAGGCCTAGATATAAGCCTGCTTTTTTTCTCGGCTGCTCATCACATCCTTACATTGTTTCTGCAGGCAGGTTTCCAGGGAGCAGAAGCCGATTATGTTCTGGGCTGGTGAAAAGGAACCGCGATTGGCGTTTGGCTTGGAGGTTTTGATGTCCAAAGCGTCGACCCTCTCAATCCTTTAAACTGGGTTGCCGTTAAGGACTTTAATGTTGGTTCCTATATTGGGGACACCATACTATTTACTATATATATACCCAGTATGGCAACTTGTTAATTTACGCTCCTTAACAGCAACCCAGCAAAGCCAGAGTGGTAAGGTACGGCGGCGGAGGCTGGCACGAGGCCTGCAAGGAGTTCAACTACCAGTACCCAGGTTGCCACTGGGATCACCACAAGGCGCCGGGTGCATTTAGAGCCATAATCTAAAATCCTTACAGGGGGTTTATATAGGGGACTATACAGGGGAATAGTATAGGGGTTAGTAAGAGGGATGCTAGGAGTTTAGACGATAGGTCATTCATAAGGTGGGTAGGGCGTGGGGGTGACAAGGGCTTCGCTCGTGTGAGCTACAGACTACAGTTAGCTTGGGGTACTTATAGGGGGACATGTATGGGGTATACCCCTAAACCCTTAGGGGGGATATGTAGGGGGTATAGTTGAACATATGAGGGAATATCTTAAAACTTAAGTGCAGAGGCCGTGTCAACAACAAGGCCTTGGACATTCCAAAGCCCAGCCGCAAGACCCTGGAAAACCCACAAGCAATCCATGACATCTGGGTCGGACCAGCTATGATTGACAAACTTATAGTACCCATATACAACCCCAGCTTCCATCGCATTTTACATGCGATTCTCCACTGCTCACATTCAATGCCACAGTAAACCCTATATCCTACAATATTATAATCGTAGCTACATCACCAATTATACTGCTACGAATAAATTAGGTCCTTCCCCCTGACAGTAACACTTTCCACAGTAGGAGCTATAGTAGCCCCTTAATGGGAGACAGTTTCTGTAAGAAGCACTGACCCACCTGATAGCGTTCCTTGGGTCTGTTCTGGAATAAGGGAATATTATAATGCCTCTATAATTCCTTTCCAATATATTCCCTTATTCCCTATTAAACTGCCAGGAAGTCTCTACATATGATATAGTCCCTACAAAATCCCTAAATAGGATACGTTCCCTTAATCCCTACTAACTCCCAGTAAGTCCTTGCATATGATAGGGTCCCTACATAATCCCTATATATACTATACTCCCTTATTCCCTACAAACCCCCAGTAAGTCCATACATATTGTATAGTGCCTCCATAGTTCTTATATGAGCTATAGTCAAAACTCCCTAAAGGGTGTTATTAAGTGGGATACTAGGAGCTTAGACTATAGCTCATATAACCCCAATAGGCGATAGTAGCTTCCATTTTCTTTTCCATTATCCCTACAGAATCCCAAATATACTATTGGATATTAGACTATAGCTCATATGCACTATATTCCCGTATTCACTATAGTCCCTGCATAGTCCCTATAGATATATATATATGTATATATATAATAATATATACTATATATACTATATATACTATATATATATACTATATACTATATTCCCTACTAAGAACCAGTAAGTTTGGGTTAGTGAAGAGGCCGTCATGGCCTGCCGCGCCTACTTCCTGGAGGGCCGAAGGCAGCAGATGGTTTTGGGTTTTAGGTTTAGGGTTGAAGGTTTAGGGTTTAAGGTTTAGGGTTTAAGGTTTAGCGTTTAAGGTTTAGGGTGTAGGGTTGAAGGTTTAGGGTCTAGGGTTTCTGGACACCCCGCCACCATGCAATAGTGGTATAATAGGACTACAAGAGGACCCTAATGTAGGGTTTAGGGTTTAGTGGTTTCATAGGATTATAAGAGGACCCGAATATGATTACAATCATCCCTTATAGTCAATATTACTGGGGGGGGTCCACCTTGGGTTTAGGCTACTGTAGGGTTTTAGGGGCTGCTTCGGGTTCAGGGTTCCAAAAAATATATAGTTGTTCAATCGTATTTTGCAAAATAGGGAATATAATTTAGTAGACCGTGGGGGTGGAATGAAGGAGCCGCCCCTCATAATAAAACATTCCATATGTATTATAATATGAGCTTTCCCATGATGGTATACAATAATCTACAGGGAAGATGTTTGTTAGGTTTGTTACAACATATGTGTAGGAACAAGCCCAAAGTATAATGAGGTATTACTCCATAGTCCATTACGGATAATATTCTGAATAACACACGTTTTCGTAGTATACCTGCTGAGGTTGGGGCTGTGAGACGAGGTAGCCACCCGCAAATAATAGATATTCCAATCACGGCATGCTGGAATACATAGGGAAGATCTATTCGGTACATTTACAATATTTAATATGTAGGGAATCTGCACTGTAGGGTCTGTGGGGTTTTATTCTTGCGGACAGGTTAAGTGGGCATATGTACTGTAGTCTAAACTCCAAGTATCCCCCTCAAAACACTTCTAATACCCTCTAAGGAGTTTAAACCCTAAACCCTTCTCCCTTAACCCTATTCCCTAAAACCGTAATCCCTAAAACCCTAAACCCTAATCCCAAAACCCTAACCCCTAAACCCTAACAGACTATGGCTCGTATGTACATGTGCACCTTGAGGTCTCGAGGCTTCGGATTCTATGTTCGGGGGTTCTGTGGGGGTTTCACAAAACAAGGTGTACCTTTAAAGGGGAATAGGCATTGTATAGGTATTATATAAGGATTACATATGGCTTACACAGGGATTATTTCGGGGTTGCATTGGGTTTATATAGGGTTCCCCGAAATTGGGGGAGTTGCCATTTTGGGGGTCATATGGGTTTATATCGGGCTTAGGCCTTAGGGTCTCCCAAAATTAGGGGTACCAGTTTCGGAGTCCTCGTAATAAGGAATATAATATCTTGGGGTCTACATTGGGGTCCCCTTTCTCGGAAAGCTATCATGCGTGCCAGGTCAGTTGTGTTCGCTGTGTACAGCCGTGGCCGTGATTTGAAGATGAAGGAGCGCTTCAAGAAAGAGTTCCGCTGAGCTCAAAAAGGCCAAAATCCTTTTTTGGCGAAGTGCTGCGGAGAAGCAATCTCTGGAGTGATTGCAATAATCACCTCGGCCTCTGCGATTCATTTTGTTGAAACGAGTGGCTTGAGCATGTTGTGCTTGCAATAAATGATTTGTCTTCGGTAGCGGCTGTCCAAGCCCGCCCTGGTTCCCTACGTTCCTTCGCACCTTGCCGCACTCGCGGGCATTCTCTGCCGGGACCCGGAGAAAACAGACTACGCGCCGCTCTTGCTCTCAAGGTGGCTTGCTGCAGTGGCATCCCCGAAAGCCAGTCATGCCGTGAGCTGCGGTTTACTATATTATTGCTATTACTACTATTACTACTGTTGCTGTTATTACTATTCTGTCTACTATTCATATTACTACCATTATTACTATTCTTAGTACTGTTATTATGTTAGATTATTGGATTTGCTGACTTTGTGAGTGCAAGCGGTGAAGCTGCAGCTCCCGCAGTTCCAAGTAACTTGTATTGGACGCCATGTCACTTCCCAGGGAGACCTATACCCTGAATTGAGGATTATAGGTTAGGGTTTTAGAGGGTTTAGGGTTTAGGGCTTCCTATACAATTCAGGATATGTCGTCCTTGATTAAGGGGTGTCGCGCTCTCTGCGTCCCAGAGTGGGTAGGAGGTGCTGCGAGTTTTGTCATGTATGGCTTCCACCTGCCAAGCTCCATTCCCCTCTACTACAGGGTTTAAGGTTTTAGGGGTTTGGTTACGGTTTAGGGTTTAGGCTTTAGGGCAGAATCCTGACTAAGTATCAATATTATATTGTTCCCTCAGAATCCCTAGATAATCATATGATAGGATGCCCAAAAGACCTATGATAGTTAAATGACCCCCTATGGCTGATGGAGAGAAATCCTGCACCAGACCATGCTTTGGAGACCTGATGTGGTGCAAGATTTCCTCCATCAACCGTATATTGGGTTGGAAAACATCATGCGATAGCCAGGTAATCTTCTCTAGTCCCTTTCGGTGGCTGTTTGGTAGTTTCCAAAAATTAGGGTGCCCTTGCATACCCCCAGACATAATGTAATCCCTTCTGTAAGAACCATCCAAATGGGATCCTTATTTCCGGAAAATTTATTTGGACAACACTACAGGTCTTGAATAATTGTGAATTTGTCCACCTAGCTTCAGAAAAAGAGCCAGAGATTCAGGTGTTCGAAGGACATGCCCGCGTCAAGCGTAGCTAGTCTGTGGTAGGCGCAAGAGTTTAAGTCCACTTGGTTTCCCCACCATGTGTACCAACAGGGCCGAGAAGCACATAGCATGCGGACCAGCTGCTTCCCTCGGCCCTGGATTTTCCCAAATCTACTACCACTATCCCCCGAATACTCCCCATAGGGATCCCTGAGGCTCCCAGTACCTGCCCCCTTGGACCTACACCCCTTAAGGCTGTGGTAGTAGACCCCTCAACCCCTGCAACCAGAGCTCTTCCTTCTAGTGCCCATTCTAGTAATGGGAGATTATAGTCCCCCTGAAGTAGATAGAATATGGGGTATATGGGGATCTTATTATAATATACCCAAAGCCATATCCTATCTACTTAAGGGAGACTGTATGTTGTTAAAAACGCTACTCGAGATTATAACCCCAATATAACCCCCAATATACACCCTATTATAATATAGTAGTTTCCATTTTCTTTTCCATTGTCCCAATATCAACCCTGGGAGATTATGTTGTTAAAAGAGCCTAAACCCTAAATCCTAAACCCTAAACCCTATATAACCCTAGAGCCGCGGTGTTTGTCCTCGAGTGACGGGAGTAGACGGATGGTGGCCGCTCCGAAGCGTGCATGGCAAGGCCTTGGGTGACATGAGCTGTAGTCTAAACTCCTTAAAGTGGGTTATATAGAAGATTATAGGGTTATATAGGGTTATATAGGGTTTAGGGTTTAGGATTTAGGGTTTAGGGTTTAGGGTCTAAACTCCTTAAAGTGGGCTATATAGGGGATTCTATAAAGGACTACTTTAATGGTTATTAAGGGGGATACTAGGAGTTTAGACAATGGCTCACGTGGGGTTTTCTCAAGGCGTTGGTTTTCGGGGTTGCTGTTAAGGAACTTAAATTGAGTTAGTATATCGGGGAATCCCTATTATTTACTATATATACCCATTATGGTAACTTAATTTAAGTTCCTTAACAGCAACCCAGTTTTCGGGTTTAGGATTAGGGATTTAGTGCCTAAATGCGTACTCCTGGCAGCGGGGAATGAAGGAATGGATCCGTATAGCAATCCCTATAAAATTCCTTATAGTGCGTTTTATTTTCCATTCCTTCATTCCCCTAAAGACGGCGCTCCAAAATATTACAAACCCACCCCCCAACACCTCCCATCAACAAACACTCCCTGAAAAATATCGTTGGTAATAATGTTGGATCCTGATTTGCAGGAGGGTCGATTCAACAGAACGCTTCGCTGATACCATGTGGCGAGAGCGCAGATAAGAAAGCACAACATGCTTATTGGAAGGTTCTGTTCAGAACGATGACTTTTATCATCGGATGTCAGATTCCAGAACCAAAGCCCAACTCCATGTAAATGCCCTGCCGGGACCATTCGAGAGCCAACGCCCAATCAATGTTCCCAGTGGGTAGTCCAGCAGACCCCTGAATTGGACTTATCATCCTTGCTTGTCAGGGTCTCTTTACCTTAACTTCACATGACCCCCTGATGCTTAGATACAAGGCTTTGTTGCCATCAAGTGACTGACAATGTGGCGGCTGCGTACTGCTACGTGATTTGTACGCTGCAGCATGTCGTAAGAATGTGCTTTGCGACGGGTTTCAGAGTCGACTCTGGATGCGAAGTGGTGCGCCTCCAGCGTTTGTACGCAAGCCAATGGTAGAATGCTGTTGTTTTTGGCAGCTGGCTGGTCAGCGAGCACATAAAGCGGGATGTTCATACTCAGAAAACTCTGGCATGTTGAATTCTGTTTCAGTCTATTACGCGTAGGGCGTGGTAAAGGTGCGCCATTCTCTTGGCTGAGGGTTGGAAAGGTTGCCATCATCAACATTGGTTGATGCTGCTATGATCTAAACGCTGCCTGACACTGCTTTAAACAGCGGACCAGATAAGGCTCAGACTGCTATCAGGCAACAAGGCCTCCCGCAGTTGTGATACATGTGGTTGCATGTTTGCAGGAAGCGGGTGCGCCTGCTGGAAGATGCCTTCGTTGATCAGTCTTCGCCTCACGCAAAAGTCGATCCCAAAATGCAAGACTTTGTACTGAGGACGTCAGGGACCTTGTACATGGTTTTCCGCTGCACGGTCCTTCCCTCACGGACGTGTTGATCCAGTCGCTTGAACACACTTATGATTTTGTGGAGCTTGACGGGCTAAAGAGCAGTCAGCTTGTCTAGGCATCTAAGGAATGGCCGCGGAGGCATGCACGTGGCCGATGTCCAGCAAGTTGGCCGCCAGCTCGTGGCCACGGTTGCCTGGCCACATGGCAAAGGCCTCTTGCACTTGGACATCAAGCCACAAAATGTGGTACTTGTGTCTGGTGGCTTCAGCGTGACGGCTCCACCCCCGCAGGCGCATGTTGACTGAGAGGGAAGACGCAAGCGCATGAAGCCTGCTCGCACAGGCAACTCGAGGGTTTGCCTATCACCGCCCAGTCGACCTCCGGATCCGCCTCATCGACTTCGGCTTGGCGACGTGCCCCTGTCCTTTTTTCCCATGCGCCACTATTCTATCTAAGTCTAGATCTGAGCGGGAATGTTTCTGAGCTCGGCAACCGAGCAAGAAACCACACTGCACACCAAACAGCTGAATTTTAATACACTCTGCAGCTCTCAGCTTTAAAGCTCCTGATCGGGATGCTTCCGAGTTCGCTTAGTGAACAAGGGGCCACCATGCACATGGCTTTCCAATAGACTTTGAAGTTCGCAGCTGGGGTGCTTCTGAGTTCGCTTAGTGAACAAGGGGCCACCACGCACATGGCTTTCCAATAGACTTTGAAGTTCAAAGCTGAGGTGCTTCCGAGTTCGCTTAGTGAACAAGCCAAAGATTGGAAGTGGAGCACGGCTTTCCGTCTTGCCCAATCTACATTCGGACATACTGGAATCAGCTCGCTGACTGGCTTAGTCAGGACGCTGGGGACAATATTCGGGCTTATCGCCTTGCCCAGGGCTGGAAACAAGTCGGGACGCAGCTGCTGGAAGACTCATGCATGGCTCCTTTGACTCTTCCCGGGGATCATCTCTTACGGTCATTGGATTCTACATCGTCTGATATCACGCACAAACCAAGCAGTATGAAAAATTAGGCACGCTTTCTTACGGTCATTGGAATTTGCATCCTTTGCTATCCTCCACCAGACAAGGGGATACGATTTGTTGCGGCATTGACTTCTGCATCTTGTGATATCATATACGAGATAAGAGGTACGATTTATTATGGGCATTGGATTCTGCTTCTTGTAGAAGCAGACAGAAGACGGCGGGTATTTTTTGTTACGAGCATTGGATTCTGCATCTAGAGATATCATATACGAGACAGGGTATACGAATTATCATGGATATTGGGATCTGCATACGGGGGATATCTCCTAAGAACCAAATCGTATGATTTATTACGGGCATTGGGTCGTGCATCTTGAGATATCGATCACGAGCTAAGGATATGTTTTGATATGCGCATTTGTGCCTACGTCTTGTAAAGTCATCTACGATAGGAGGTACGATTTGTTAGGGGCATTGGGTTCTGCATCTTATGATCTCTTATATGAGATACGCTACTGAGTATATCAGCCTCTTTGTTGGCTGGTTTCTGTAATGAGCATTTGGAGGCCAGAAGCGATTTGTAACATCCCAGAAGCGATTCATAAAATCCCAGAAGCTATTTATACATCCCAGAAGCTATTTATAAATTCCAGAAGCTATTTCTAAAATCCCAGAAGCGATTTATAACAAAAAATTGTGACACCCAGGGGCTATTTTATAGATGGTCCGGAGCCGC